CCGCCACCGATGGAGGAAACAGAAGTGTGAGCGCTAACTAAACTAGCATCAGCAGCCAAGTACTGCCTGTGTGTTCTGGACACTTCCACCCCGTCAGAGCGCTGCCCCGGGGTGGAAGTGTCCCCCGACGGCGCCGAATATTCAGATATTCATCATTAATTGGGCCTGAATATCCAGAGAGCAGAAAGTTCTACTGGGACCAGCCCTACTAGTTATTATAACAACTATGAACAATAATTAACGACTAATGAGCCTTCCAGCATCAAGCCCTCCTTGTATCTGGACCTCCGGCTTGACAATCCGACAGCCTTGCTATCTGACATAGAAGAAGGTTTTACATTTAGTGTCGGATTATCGAGTCACGACTGTAATTTTAAAAATCTAAAGCAGTCGTTTTGGAAATCAAAGTGAAGAGTAAAGGTGGTAATAAAAAACTATTCATTCATTTTTGAGCACTATTAGTTGCTGCAAACCACTGAATTTGGGCTTTTAGCACCAACAGCTACCCCCATCACTAACTTAATCCCAACCAAACACAAACTCGGGCGGTCATGTGAACGATAGGTGGCACTGCACACTGACAGCACTTCAGTTCTTCATAGATGGTTTTCTGCAGCACACTCGTGGAAATAAGATGTCGTACTCCAACAGCACATTTTCTGCATGCTTATTTTATTTAGTTCGAGGCAAGCCTTCGCTGGCCGTGAGCCAAGGACAACACAGGGCTTCATTTCAGAGTCTGCTGGCTTCAAACACGGTGTAATTTCCTGTAGGCTAGATGGTGAGGAGCAGCTTTAACCCCACATAATGTTTACTATCATGAAGCGCCTGCAGCATCTGATCTGAGGGCCGCCCTTTTCCTTGTTTGGTTGTTTTTTCTTTACCGGGTGACTTCATTTTAGGAAATTGAAGAAAAAGTGTTTTGTGTGCATGAGTGCACATTTCAAACGTGCCTCCGCTGTTTGTTTTTTTTTTAAAGATCATGCATGAAACGGCCATTTTCTTCAAATGTAGAGTTTTTTTTCCACTCAGTCGTGTTTATTTTGGGGAATGTGTTGCAGAGTTTGCAGCCTGCTGAACAGGTTCCTGTAACTCTAGTTATTTTCCCCCCAAAAAACAAAGTATTTGTAGAGCTTTGCTGCTTCTAGAATTTAAATTAATTGTTCAACAAAAACAAAAAGTAAAAAAATGCTGAACGGAACAACTGGGATGTGACCAGGGCTGCATTCAGACAGGAAGCCGACACATTCAGTAGCCATCAGATTAACAGAACAGTGTGAAAGGGGCTCAGTCGACTTCTGCATCATACATTTTTTGGTAATATGTGCTCCAAAAATTGGACTTTTCATGACAGCTTCACCTTTTTCATGCTCAGTATTGCAGATTCTGAATCAATGCATGATGGAAGTTTTAGGTTTTTATCTTTAACGGTTCCTGAGATGATGTCGTCCTTTCATCTCTTCTTAAGATGACAGGAAAAAGGTCATTTTTTTTTCTCACATGTGAGCAAAGAATAATATTACATGACAGTTCACAGCAGGCCTGTCCTCCTGGAACAGAGCTGTCTGCCTCCCGTCGTGTCATTACTGCTGATTAATTTGCCTCAGGACTAAAACAATCTATGACTGTCCCTGATCTGACCCTCGTGAGTGTTTTTTCACCGACCGGGCTGTGCTGCTGTTCTCCCACAGAAAGCCACCAGGAAGACGGACAAGGTTCAACTGGACGAGCTGGATGTGACGGTGCTGACTGACGAGGGCCTGAGGGACGAGCTGCTCAAGCATGGAGTGGATGTGGGACCGATTGTGGGTGAGTGCGGGGTTAAAGAGTGAGGTACCACCATCTGGCCGAAGCACACGGATACATGACTGCCCTCCACACACGGTGGAATGTCTTGTGTTGGTGATAAAATTCACAAGTGGCTCTGACATGTTCAGTGATGGAGTTGCCAGGACAATGACTTTGCTTTATACAAATACGAGAGAATGTGCAGGAATATTCTCCGTCATCCACATCTTGTTTTTGTTGTTGTTAATAGTAATAATAATTTTATTGATCCCTCATTGGGGGAAATTTACACGCCACAGCAGCATCCAAAAACATAGAAAGTACAAGAAAACAACAATAACTAGTCAGGGTGAGGGTTATGGTAACCCTACTAGCAATACTTACATTGAAAAAGAAAAACAGATTGTGCCAAAGTGAATTCATGACCATGAACTGTTCGTTCTGTCCATTTGGTCGACATCAGTTCGTGATGCTGATGTTGTAAAGTCGTACTGCAGTTGGTAGGAATGACCTGTGGTGGCGCTCTTTCTTGCAGAGAGGATGTTTGAGTCTGCTGCTGAAGGAGCTGCTTAAAGCCTCCACAGTCTCATGCAGCAGGTCAGAGGGGTTGTCCATGATGCATGTGAGCTTTGCCAACGTCCTCCTCTCACCCACCTCCTCTATGGGGTCCAGGGAGCGGTCCAGGACAGAACCGGCCCTCCTCACCGGTCTGTTCAGCCTCTTCTTGCCCCTCTCTTTGCTCCCTCCTCCCCAGCAGACCACTGCATAGAAAAGAGCAGACGCCACCACAGTGTCATAGAAGGTCCTAAGCAGAGTCCTGAACACTCCAAAGGACCTCAGTCTCCTCTGAGGAGACGACTTTGGCCCTCCTTGTACAGGACCTCTGTGTTGTTAGACCAGTCCAGTTTGTTGTTGAGGTCAAAAGCCAGGTATCTGTAGGTCTCCACCATCTCCATGTCCAGACCCTTGATGTTCACCTGTGCAGTCTGGGTTTGTCTTCCTCCTACGGAAGTCGAAGACCATCTCCTTCGTCTTCCTGGTGTTGAGCTGGAGATGGTTCTGCTCACACCAGTTGACAAAGTCAGTGATGACGGTGCTGTACTCCGATCGCCCCCTCTCACCCGTCGCCTGCTTGCATGATGATCAGCAGTAAGATGCTCACCCTGGCAGCTCAACGGGATAAGACAGTGCCCCATGAACAGGGGCTCTAGTCCCCGAGCAGCGGTCGGAGTTCGACTCCCACTCAGGAGCCTTTGCTGCAGGTCTCTCCCCATTCTCCCCCACTGTCCTGTCGCTCTCTACTGCTCCGAGTAGCCCAAAAGCCTCAAAAAACATTCATAAAAAAAAAAAAGACAGCAGAGAGACTGAACTGCATATTTGCAATGTGAAATGATCCCCAAACCGTGCAATTAAAAATCTAAATTACATGAGTTACTTCCTGCCAGGAAGAGACAACATCGACTGCACAGTTATGCATTATGTCCTAATTTAGTAAATTAGTAGTCTGGGATCTTTACTTGCTCTGGAAAGACTTGGAATCAAACCCTGGTCACAGGTTTTGGCATTTCAGAATTAATGACCTGCAACACAACAGCTCAGCTTCATTACAGCTAAAATAAATAAATAAATAGGTATTAGAAAAAGGAGGAGGTCCTACAGTGTAACACTTGCTTAAAGATGCACTCCAGTTTTTTACCACGGGGTGGACGTGACCACAACGTGCACAAGAGCACCGGTCAGTTAAGTGTGAAATCCAGAATGCGTAGTGTTCTAACAGTACACGAGTTATAACAATTATAAACAATGAATATTAACAACTAATGAGCCTTCCAGCATCAAGCCCTCCTTGTATCTGGACCTCCGTCTTGACAATCCGACAGCCTTGCTATCTGACATAGAAGAAGGTTTTACATTTAGTGTCGGACTATCGAGTCACGACTGTGTTTGTCTCCTCTTGCAGTAAAACCCAAAAGTCAGTTTTTTTTGTCACATGTCTGTTGGTTGCAGCCACGTCAGTCGTGACTCTTTCAGTCATGTTGAATGTTTTGTGTTTTACAGAATCTTGTGGAAATCGTTCATTTTTTGCAGTTGTTTAAAATGATTCATGCACTATAAGTTTTTGTCGTTGATTTTAAGCTTAGATTTGGTAAATATTTCCCTCAAAACTGCACCTCACACACAGTTACATAGAAGACTGCTGGACATCCGACTATTCTTCCTGTTTTTCTCGTCTCTAGCTGAAAAATTTTTGTCATTTTCCCAATTTTATTTTTCTATTCTTTTGTAAAGAGGACAGAGGACTTTATAGTTTGTTGTTTAAGATGCATGCAGCCAAGAAAAAGAGCAGCAACAGTCAATATTAAATGACGGTCTGTCTCTGTGCAGCTGTGGTTACTAAAGTTATTTCAGTATTGTTTAAAAGTATTTCCTCCTCGGCTGTGCTGTCAGTTTGTGGCATGCGAGCGCCCGCAGAAGTCGATCCAAAGTTTATTAGTAGGGTATCTCCTTTTTTAACCAATCAGAAACAAACACTTCAGGAAGACTCATTTGAAAGTACAGGCTCCTAGATGGGAACAAAAGAGAAATCTTGAAGCACAAGTACAAGTTGTCTTTGAGACGAGACGGCACAGCAGAAGCCAGAAGAGTCTGGTCCACCAGCTCCTCATCCAACTTAACAGATACTTAAAAAACAGGAGCCCAATATGACGAACACCAGATGACCGAAAAAAACAGCATTTACCTCACATAATAATAGCAAGAAACACACATATGATGAGTACAAGAATACAGACAGCAGATCACACTGGTTGCTAATATCATGTGACCTTTTGGCTTCTGTGTACACATATGTTTATCGTGCCAGTTATTAAGACATGGACTTGGACTTCATTCAGCCTGTGAAACCCTGTTAACACTGAAACCAAACGGAGTACACCTGTGATCCAGTCACTGTAACTGCATTTGAATCTTAGGAACTGTCTCTTATTGCATTCATCTCCTGCTGTGGACCNTAGAGGCAAACAGGTGTGCAGCGGCAGCAGCAGGACACGTCTGGCCTGGGCTTGTTTTGGAGGGAGGACAGTTTGTGTGTGAAGACTGAATGATGAGTGGGAGCAGAACAAAGGTGGCGACTGACAAATGACATGCCAAACGTGTGGGAGGTGACTGTTTGCTGCTGCTGCCGGTAGTTTGGAACAACAACAAACGTGTTTACTGGTGCTCTGCTGCATTTTTCCTTTTTGTGAAAAGATTTACATTCATGTTTTTTCTCTCTCACCTTATTTGGGAAGTCAGGGTCAGGTAAAAGTCACCTGAGTGTTCAGACAGCCGCTGTGCAGCCAGCAGCGGCTCTGTGTGTGCTGTGAGATGTGGACACAGTGCCCATGATCAATCTTTCATGAGTTTTCAGATGATGAATAAACGTTGACAGTGGGAGGAGGTGAAGTGTGAGCGGTACAGGGCAGACGGGTCTCTCCAGTCGATCAGGCAGCCATGGCTTTCATAAAGGGAACTTCAGATCTCTCAGCCGGAAAGTGTGTGATATGACAGAGATAAGGCAGGTGTGCCGTGTCATAAAAGGAACGCTAAGGGGTGGCGCTCTGCTGCTGTTGATTTTTAAACAGAAGCTCCTCCCATGTTCTACTGCGGCGGTAACACGGTGTGTTCTGGGCATTTATCTCTCATGTCTCTGAACTGTTTAGTCCAGAAAATGATTAAAAATAGAGAACAAGGAGATTTGTATCCTGGGCAAGGCTATAAAGCTGAAAGATTAATCATGATGAAGTGTTTCATTTCAATCAATATAGATCATTTTTTATCATTTTAATGAACTATTTTAAATAAAGACTGGAAGGAAAAAGGCTCCATTTGAATTTAACCACCGTAGCTTATCTGTCAGCGTACACAGGATCATGTTTAATGCAGTGATAAGACACACATATGGACAGATTCACACACAAAGAGAATTATCTTTGCATGCTAAGCATTAAATGTAAAAACCTGGAGATGCACCGTGCTCAGACTGAGGCTCCTAGTGTCCGGCTAGTTTCCAGAAACGGACCCTGCACTTGAACTGCACACCTTGATGTCAAGTCCGTCAGCGCCTCCAGGAGGCTGCCAGGAGGGTGTTGCTCAGGTGGAGGAGGTGGGAGACAAAGGGTGAAGGGTGTTGATACGCCACGAAGCCAGTCGGTCAACCGCCGGCCCCTGCCAGCCAGAAGCTCCACCGCTGGAGGCCTGGGACGTAGATGTGGATGATGTGTTTCACTGTTCAGAAACCTGCCCTTGCTTACATAATGAGAACCTGCCAGGTCTTGGCTACCAGTAACCAGCAGTCCTGTAAAGTTTCTACAGGTATGTTGTTGACACGACCTTCAAAGCAGCTTGTTCATCATAAAGGAAGCTCGTTTGCTGAGGCGTCTGCACTTTAAAGGACTGCTCCACCGTAAACGTGTGCGTATAGAGAACCCTGTGAACTGGAGCGCCGCCTCTTTGTGTTTGTGACGGCTCATCAGATTCAAAGCTGTTGGTGTACTTCAGCAGTGATCCACTTTTAAGTAAGTAGGTTTAGTGTAAGCCAAACTCTAACCAGAGCCCTGAAGTAGTATTACAATGTCCAGAACAATAAAACATGGGAGGAGTCCACTTTTTGCTCAGAACAGGAAACGGCTGCTGATCTAACCTGGTCATGATGCAGTTTGACTCGGGATCAGTTTCGCCTGCTCAGCTCCTGACTCTCTGGTGTTTGTTGTGTGAAGTGATTCCTCTGCACTTCACCTGTTTTATTTCCTAAATCATTTACAATATGCTTAAACTTGCACATATTTTTGCCAAAATATGATCAAGTGCCCACAGTCATGTTGGATTTCTTCACTCAGCAACGTGCAGCAGCGTCGGTACAGGTGGAGCTCATCGTTGTCTCACTCGCTCTCCTTTTGAGGAGGCGATTAGAAGTTGACCTCATGGTTTTGGATGCTGTGCTTCTCAACCAGTGGTCATGTTGCGATGAGTCTGGGTGAATAAATTGTTCCAGCTCAGGTGTCTTTGTGTAAAACCTACGTAGTGCAGCTAAAGGTGTGAATGGCAGAGCCGGCAGAGGTTTTATTGCATGTGGTGCTGTTATCTTACTGGGTTTGGCCTCTTCACTGAGGAAATGCTTTGGTTAGGAAGTGAGGAATTTATGCCCTGTGTGTGTGTGTGTGTGTGTGTGTGCGTGTGTGTGTGCGCACTAAAAAGTCTTGGGCTGTGTAAATGCCATAGCAAAGACTGTGTCTGCTCAAAGCTTCAGTTTGGAACCAACATCAGAGCAAATCTCTGAGTAAGGAGTCAGTGTTCTACAACCTCTGTGGCCTGAATGTTCTTGTCCTTCTAGCATCCGTCAGCAAGGATTTTCAGAGGTGGAGCCGCTGTTCAAATGAACGTTTTGCTAATATTGATAAGAAGAAGATAGTATCCATGAACAAATCTGTCCCACAATTTATTTGGAAAAATAAACCCTCAAGAATTTGTGAGGCTTTTTTTTTCTTTTTCTGCATCGGCCCAAACTATCAGGAGGAATGACTTTCCCTGACATTGAACTTCACTATGAGGCGGCTAGAGTTTCTAATGTGTTGTTTAGATCATAAAACTCATCCAGGTTGGACATTAAAGCATCTTTTAGTGAAGAGTTGTTCCTGCCTGCTGTCCTGACGTGTCCGACCAGCACTAGACGGGTCTATAGAGGACGAGTTATACTCATCAAGTTAATGATTATATTTATGTTTTTATGGATTGATTTTATCTGCCTCTTGTAATGTAATTATTATTGATTGTGTTTATGTTCTGTGGACTGAGTTTATCTGTCTTCTTATACTTATACTGTACAGATAAACCTGCCCTGCCTTGTCTTAGCTAATTCCATTTATACAGTTTAGGAAAAAATGTAGAACTTTAGACCGTTGTTTGCATAGAAATAAAACTGTTATTTTCCTCCCTCGCGGCAGGACTCTGCCTTTAATATGTGTAAGTCAGACGGTATTGCATGTATGAACCCTCCAGGAGGCTGCGTTTGGCGGGAACAGGTGGTTGTCCTCCCAACACAGGCTTTACAGATAGAAGAAACCGAGCTTTTTATCTTTTTGCCCTCAGCTTTTTCCAGTATCAGCAATATTAAACATTTCTGTTTTTCAGTTTTTCAAAATGTTCTCTCTATATATGTTTTCTTACATGTTTTTATTTCACTTGGTTTAGTTGTGAAATGTGCTGTTTGCATGCCAGAGTGATTATAGACTGCAGGTGGGCAAGAAGCCCAAATATTCATTCCTGACATTTTTGGGATGGTTAGCTGTAGGCGGAGAGGCCTCTTCAGGTGAATCTGAGAGGCTCAAATACTTTGTGTGTTCATGCTTCAAGTTTCTCTGCTTTTATTAACAAAGTTTGTGTTCTTGAGATTCAGGACAATTAGTGAAGCATGAAGAATGTGCAACAGCCACTATGCAAACAGCTGTGGAGTCTGGTGAACCACACATACTACGCTGTTACTCAGCCAAGCAGTGAGCTACGGCGTGTGCTCACAGGTCTTGGCATGTCTCGCCCTCTACTACTCCATCAATAGTAGTAAAGGAAAGTCTGACGCTGTTGGTAGTGAGTTTACTCCACAGAGCTGTGAGCTCACGGTTCAGTTATGCCTTTAAAGGCCAGGGTGTGGTCTGCAGGGGAGGGAGCACAGACGCTTTCCTCCCCCTCCTCTCGTCCCGCTCTCTGGCCTTATGAAACAGCCTGGCTCACATCCAGACCAAACCCTGCCGAGGGCCCGCCGACAGCAGCCATGGAGGAGGCCGGCCTCTCCGTGTGCCGTCCGGTTATCACACACCTCAGCAGGGCAGCGCCGCAGCGTTTACGCCAAGCATGTCCTCTTTGCACAGCTCGCATTTTTCGCCGGTCTGCTGCAGTGTTTTCTTTTTAGACACAGATGTGAATTTAGAAACCACCGTCACTTTGAGAGAGCAGCTTTTGTGGTCAAAGATTTACACAGAATAATTGTGGTTTGGTGCTTTAGGCTGAAGGTGTTCGTCCCGTCCATCCGCTGCACTCAGACTCCACTGGGCATCGTATAGCGTACAGGCTGCAGTCTGTCATGTGAGCGTCTGTGTGCATGCATTCCACACACATACACGCCCAGGCTAACGCGCTGCACACCGTCTGCATTAGAAAACCACATAGCTGCATTTGGAAAGTCACTAGTTTCTGTTACAACAGTTTTTTGTTTGTTAATAAATCCAAAAACATTAAACAGTCTGGGGTTTTTTTGGTCATGTCACATTTTTACTCACTGTGGCTGGAATGAGAGAGAACTGCCATTAATTATAAAAACAGAAGAGAAGAGCAAAGGTCGGATTTATTTGAGTTGAAAATCCTGAAATCAACAGTGTCCTGAGGTGTTACCAGTAAAGTGGGGGAAAAAATCATCACATCTACTGAGAAAGTTTCAAGATNAGCAAACACCTGACAGTTCAACTTGGAAGTAGCACACTTGTTGTTAGGTGATACACTTTTGAATCGTCTGACATTCATGTGATGTTGTACAGAGGTATACTCACTTCTTGATATTCTTTACAGTATTTGTTCTTTGCCATTTCAGATGTAAACCATTACTGCAGTAGTTGAGTTTTAGTCTTTTTCATTTGTTGCAGTCCGCTGCTGTGAGCAGTGAGTCCATGTTGAGCAATAACATGCAATGTGATGTGCTCAGTCCAAATGTTGAAATCAAGGAATCCTTTATGTACAATGCTGAAGGAACAGCACTTACATGTAGAGATGCTTCAGAAGGTATTTAAATGCAAAAAGGTCTGGAATGTAATTTTAAATTATTAGAATTTCTCTTTTGTCTTTGTCCATCTGCCATGAATAACTCATGACAAAGTGGAAAACTGGAAATTCTTTAACAGTTATTTCAAAAACAGAAACTGAAATGTCTAATTCACAGTCGTGTTCTGACCCGTACTTCTGTTCTGTGTAGAATCCATTTGGGAACCAGCTGTACAGTTTATACAATTAAACAAGTCAGTCAGCTGTGTTGATTCCTGTCAGACAGACTTATGCTGCATGTAAGCACTGATGAGCGTAAACCCCAAACCCGCCATGACAGCTTTGGAGAAATGGTAATGAATTAATCTAAAATAGCACCAGTCAGTCCCACCTACAGATACCTAGTTGTCCAGTGGGAGGAGGAGGCTGGCCACAGTCCACCACCAGCCTCTGTCTGTCCTCAGTGTTTGTGTAAATGCAGTCTGTCATGCTGCTAAACTCAAAGAATGCTCTGTGCAATTTATTGGCATCCATGTAATCATCAAACTGCCATTCACATGAGAAGTCCTCTTGTGCACACTGAATTAAATGTGACTCTGCTGCTGCTCCCCCCAGCCTCCACCCGCAAGCTGTACGAGAGGAAGCTTCAAAAGCTGCTGGACGACGGTCCGACGCCGCTGCCGCTGCCACAGCTGGTTCTCACAGACATCCAGCTCAACCACAACGGCAACTCTGAATCTGACCTGTACAGCGACAAGGAGGACGGTAAGGACAGTCCAACAGAACATTCATTAGGATTATTTTTAGATATTTAGGACATTTGATGTGATATGTTGCCACAGTGGTATATGGCAGGTGGTACATTAGGCAGCTCACCAGAGGGTTTGTTTGCTGTCGCCTGCTCATAAACATTTATATCGACAACCACCTTCCAAAGAAAAGCAGACACTGGAGGAGTCAAGTCCTAACGTTTAGGCAGCCACTGTTGAGTCTCAGTCCACTCAGTGTCTGGAGACTCAACACCTGCAACACATCTAGAAGCTGTGAGTGAACAATTTGATTGCTTTTCTTTGACATAACTGTGGACAGGACTGTGATGTAGCTGGACACCAGTGCCAGGCTTTATTTCTGATGTCGAAGGATACTCCTAAAGGAACCAGATTTATCTAGAATCACTACGTCATGCGCTGTGCTGTCAAAAACTAAACCTGTCGGAGTAACGCTTAGCAAACGTGAACATCTTAGTGAAAGTGTTGTTTGCATTAAGAAGAAATGCAGGAGTCCAGAGTTCCTGCCAGCATAACAGCAGGTTCACAGACAAACACACAGTCGTGAAAAATGTACATATACGTGTAAAGACCATGTATGTTATGGCAGTCTTAAGTTTCCAACGACTCCTATACCTCTTACGTTTCTATGACGTCATCGTTAAAACATACACGTCATGCATTCTGGTTGTTTCATCGCTTTATTTTAGGTCTGCTGGGAATATGACGAAATCTGCTGGGTGAAAAATATACATTCAGCAACTAGAATGATCAGTTTGGGTGGTGTAGAAGCTGTAATAATCACTTTTACTTAGTGGCATGGCCTCTTAACTTCTCGTGAGTGATTACAATTAACTACAGCTGGTGACTCCTCTGAGCTCGTTGAAATGGGGCCTCATTAGACTCAGCCACAAACACCACAGTGGCAAAGTTTAATGAGCTCAAAAAAGATCTGAAAAAGC